GAAAAATACTACACGTTTGCACAGGGCCAAAAAGCACTGACATCCCAAAATGAATGCAAAACAACTGATATGTCGTGTAGTATATAAAAGGGTTAGAGGACCCCGTAAAACACTGCACAATTAGCCCATGGGAAACAGGTTGCCCCGGGTGGCCATGCTTTCCCGGTGTTGGCGCAGCGCGCCCCCTGATTTTTTTTTTGTCTTTAGGCAAATAAACACTCACATGAAAGTGCCTTGATATCTTTAGAGGACCCCTGATTTTTCTAGCGCGGGGGAATGCATACGAAAAATACTGCTAAGAGACCCAGATGGTTAGGGTGTGGCTGTTTTCCACACAAGTACACAATTCACACACACACACACACAGTTTTATGTAAGTCTTTCCACACAAGTACACAATTCACACACACACACACAATTTTATGTAAGTCTTTCCACACAAGTACACAATTCACACACACACACACACACACACACACACACACACACACACACACACATACGCAGATGTTTTATGTAAGTCTGTCTTCCTACTGTCGTTTGTCTTTCCTCTTATTCTTTCTTACTCTGTTGTGTGCCCAACTGAGCACCCTTAAGTCGTGCCAAACAGGTGGTTCCTCGTTTGGAGTGCCTACTGCACTCTTAGGGGGGCCGCTCACTTCGGGATGTGTGTTGCCTGTGGGTGATAACGGATGCTCGTTGGAGTGACTCCCTAGCTCAGTGGGTGGTGGGAATCAATAGTCGATGGTGTTCAATCGTGATGTGAGTGGGTGATGTGCCGCTTTGCTCCGTGTTAGATGTGTGGACTGCCTTGTCTAGGCTCTGCCGCTGCCTTGCTGCCTCTCCAACGTGCTTCGCATATGGTTCTCTGCAAATTGCTCTGTTCGGTGTGTGGTGTGGCCGTGTTGCTAGTGTTGCCTTGCGCTTTGCTGCTTTGCTGCCTTGCTGCCTTGCTGCTCATCCGCTGGTCATGTCTTCCGTGTCCTTTGCTTGCGCGCCTTGTAATTCAGTTGCCTTGTCGGTGTTGCCTTGTCGGTGTTGCCTTGTCGGTGTTGCCTTGCCGGTGTTGCCTTGTGCTCCACTGCAAGGTTGTCGTGCTGCTCGACCACTAGCCTTGTCGTTCCCTGCCGTGTGGTTGCCTTGCTGGTGTTGCCTTGTGCTTCATTGCGTGGTTGTAGTTCGGTTGCCTTGTCGGTGTTACCTTGTGCTCCACTGCGTGGTTGTCGTGCTGCTCAACCACTAGCCTTGTCGTCCCCTACTGTGTGGTTGCCTTGTTGGTGTTGCCTTGTGCTTCACTGCGTGGTTGCCGCACTGCTTGTCATGCGTGCCGTGTCGTTCCTTGCAGTCTTTTTGGCATTGTGCAGTTGTGTTGCCTCTACTGTGTTTCCTGGTGCTCCGCAGGGTTGCTGCCCGCTGCTATGTTCCGCTTGGGGACAGTCTGCCTTCAACAAGGGTCAAAGGGTTCATGACCCAAACCATCAAACATGGGGATTCCGCAGATTGTCGAGGGTTCAGCCTCCTGATGAGTCCTTGTGGGGAATGTGTCCTCAGAGGGCCCTTAGACAACATGCATATGTTCTGACTGTGGCCCCCAGCAAGCCTCGTGCCCACCCTAAGTGAAGGCGGGCAATATCCACAAGAGCCCCTTATCTCAACATTTTCCAATATGGGTCTCAGACAGTTGCTCCACGACAGTTGGTTGAGGGCAGAAGGAGATCAGTGAAGATCCGTGCTTTCTCTCCACCATGATGTAGCTCGAATGGTGTGACGCAGATCGCCGGGTGCACCGAAGTGTTATAGGCGAACTCAATGTCGGAAAGTCGGTCAACCCAATCTTTCTGGTCGGGACTGATGAGCGTACGCAACATCATCTGAGCGGTCTGGTGTGCTCGCTCCGTCTCGCCATCCGTCTGCCGGTGCCGAGTCGAGCTCGACTTCATTGTCGTACCGGACTCGGCCATAAATCAAACCGGTGTGCAAGAGTCGTGCGAGCTCAGGTGCTGCAACGTGGTACTTGCACGGAAGAAAGCGAGCATACTTGCTCAAACGGTCAACAACCATGAGAATGTCGTCATGGCCGAGGCGATCGCGGGTGAACGGGCCTGTCACGTCCATAGCAATGGAGAGGCGCGGTGCCCGAGGAATCGATAACGGTTTCAGTTCGCCGAAGGGGACTCGAGATCGGCCCTTGTTACGGTGGCAAACTGCACATGACTCAATGTACCTCGTGACGTCATGAAGGACGTCGGGCAAGTGAAAACGTTGGCGGAGGCGTGCTAACGTGCGGTTTACGCCAAGGTGTGCCGAAAGTCGTGCGTCGTGGAATTCGCTGAGAAGACAAGTCCGTAAGATGCGATCTTGGGGCACAACTAACGGAACCTGTCGGAAATCCGATAGTGGTTAGCCGGCGGGTGATCCGATGAAAGCTCCGCGTAAAGCGTAAAGTAAGTCGGATCGGACTTGTAGCCTTTGACGAAATGCGGCTGCAGATCGTCATCGAGGTCGAATGCCGTGGTCACGATGGCACAAAAATCGGGTCGTCGTGAGAGGGCGTCCGCAACTCGATCGTCTTCAAAGTCGAACTGGTCGATGTAATACATCCATCGACCGATCGTGCTAGTGACCGTGCCCTGCGTTTTATAAAAGGTCAACGGATTGTTGTCCGTATTCCATTTAAAACGCCGATGACCGAGAAGAAAGTGGCGCCACCGTTTGAGAACGGTGACGAACGCGAGTAACTCTTTCTTCCGAGCGTCGTCGAGAGTGTTGACGAGAGGCACCTTTTGGGAGAAGTACTCGACGGGATGCCAACCGTCCTTGTGACACTGTTCCAACACCGCACCAATACCGTATCCCAAAGCGTCCGTAGTCACTTGGGTGGGAAGGGTGGGGTCGTATATACGGAGGGCAGGTGCGGCTTGCATCGCTGCCTTCAACGTAGTGAACGCGCCACGGGCTGCGTCGTCGAACTCGAARGGCACCTTCGGGGACTGAAGTCTCGACAAAGGAGCGACCACTTTCAAGTATGACTCGACGAATCGCTGATAATATCCAGCCAAACCCATGAAGGAGCGTACGTCCGTCGTGCAACGGGTTCCGGCCAATCCACGATGGCTTGGATCTTGTCCGCTAAGGGACGAATGCCTTTCGGCGTAACATAGTGTCCCAAGTACTCAAGCTCCTGCTTGGCTAACTCGCACTTGTCGAGGTTCGCTTTGTACTTGGCCAATCGCAAACGATCCAAAACAGCGCGAAGGTGTACGATGTGCTCGTCCAACGTCCTACTATAAACCAAGATGTCATCAAGGTAGATGAGGACGCTGCGATCGAGCAAGTCGCGAAACTCAGTCGTCATGGCTGCTTGGAAAGTCGCGGGGGCATTGGTGAGGCCAAATGGCATGACAACCCACTCAAAATGCCCGTACCGTGTCTTGAACGCAGTTTTGTACTGATCTTGAGGCTGGATTTCAATCTTGTGGTAGCTCGACTTCAAGTCCAACTTCGAGAAGTACGTCGCCCCGCCTAACCGCTCRAGGAGATCATCAATCCGAGGGAGAGGGCCGACGTTCTTTACGGTTTGTGCGTTAAGTTTGCGATAATCGATGCATAACGGTTATCGTAGATCTTTGCACCGTAAGGCGAACAACTAGGGTGCATCCATCCCTTGTCGAGAAGGTCATCGAGTTGTGCGCGAAGCAATTCGAGTTCCTCTTCGCTCATGCGGTAGATACATCCACGGGGAGGGACGGCACCAGCCTCGAGAGTGATCCCGTGACGTGTGGGCCGATCCGGAACCGTTCCGGTGGGAGCCTCGAAGACGTCTCTATACTCGTCCAAGAGGTGAGAAATGTGTGGGTCCGGCGGTAACGCGGCTGGTCCGTCCGGTGAGGGAAGAGCATGCAAGAATACAAGGCCCATCTCCTCGACGTCATTCCGAGCTATGGCGTTGAGAATTCTCGCAACGGAAACCACGTGACAAGCAATCGAAGTGTGAGGGGTCGCGACCGTACATGGGACTAACACTCCGTTCCGATCACGGATGTGAACGGTCCGGTCGTGGAAGTTCACCGGATGATCGGCGCTACGCAACCAAGACATGCCTAGAATCATGTCGAACTTGGTGTCGAGGATGTCAAAAGACACCGGCTCGCACGCAAGTGGCGCAAAGTATACTGGAACGACGTCAACTCATCGGTCAATTGACTTTTGCGTGAGGCCGTCCGCGAGTGTAACTTTCGTAGGTTGCGTCTTCCTTCGAACGCGCGGGCCAAGGTTTGCGCGGGCCATAAAGGCTTGGCTCATAAAGTTGAGAGACGCTCCGCAATCAATCAAGGCACTACAGGTTGCCTTTCCAATTTGAATGCGGATATAGAGCAAAGGAGCGTCGGTTTCGGCGTACCTTTGGGTGGCGTACTCGCGGTCAATCTTCGCAAGATAGGAGCGGAGATCGACAACCGCTACTCCGTCGTCCGTCAACAGAGCTGGTACTATAGTGTGCAAATAGGAGCGTAGATTTGCCATCAAGGCGTTGCAATGCGGCCTTGGCAAGGTTCCGGTTGAGGGTAGAGGCATCCAAGTGAAATCCTCTCTCGTGAGCCGGTCAAGCTCCTCAAGTCTTGACCACACCGTCGAGTCCTCGGAAATCAGTGGCGAGTTGACCGGATCACTTGTCGACGGTGTACAGGCTGCGCATACGCAATCTAAGTGCACGTGGCTCGGCTGGTCTAATGGTGGTACCAGCTGGGGGACATAATCGTCGTACGTAGCACAAGAATCAGCGACTAACGCATGCTCCCCGATAGTGACATCGATTGCTAGCAAGGCAACCGGGTCCGGCGGAGTGAGGAGAGATGTCGCCTCTCTCCTTGTGCAACTCAGTTTTCCGAGTTCGTTGGACGGGGTACACGTGCCTTGCCCTTTTCGGGGCATTGTGCGGTCGAGTGAGTGACTCCATTGCACCAAAGGCAATATCCGTACCGTTGTCGAAGATCAAATACTTCCTTGGTTATATTGAACAGCGTTCATGGTTGCTGCCTAGTTCCAGTCGATGTCGTCGCTTGTGTCGCCGGTTTCTTTCCCACTCTCTTGGGACGCTTCGGCGGGAGCGCTGCGGCAGTTCCTCCATCAGTCGAGGATGCTGCTGCAGCGTGGAGATCAACTGATTCTTCAGAAATCACGGCATTGTTATGTGTCGGTCCTTGATAGCCCTGCTTTGCCACATAGTGCGGCTGGGACTGTTTCTCGTTTGCGGCCTTGTCGTCCATTTGGATGACCAGGTTCGCACGATCCAGAATAGCCTGGAACGAGGCATAATCGTACTCGTTGCCGAGTGCGGTTCGCAGTCCTGCGCACGATCGCGAGAAGAACTCAGATCGTTGGTTCGGGAAACTCAAATCGAAGCCTGGTGTGGTCACTATCTTCTGCCACTTGATCGTCCAGTCTCGAGTTGGCATGCTTCCCTGTGAGCAAGTGTAGAGCTCGTTCATGGCCGCCTTCACAACGTTGCGGACCATGAATCGAGTGAACCACAACTGTTCAAAATCCCCCCACGTGAGGTGTTTGTGTAGCTCGACGATAGTGGTTCCCTTGTTAACCGCGAGGTGGTTCATCCATGCCTGCGCACCTCTAATGAGTTGGAGGTATAGTGCCTTCATCATGTCTTCGGCTGGGACCTTGTGGTAGGACGCTTCGGTGAGGAAGTCTTGCCACCATGTCAAAGCGTCGGTCTTGTTGAAGTCCTCGAACTTGCCGATGTTGAAACGTGGCATCTTGTATACCTTCGCAGCTGCTGCCGGTTGTGACTGCAGCTTGGTGATCTCCGTCTTGATGGTGGCCACCATGCTGCTGATCGTGGCCGGACTGGTGAAGTTACTTAGTTCGCCGATTAAACTGACGACATGGTCGATACGCTCGCCGAGCTGTTTCGCCGTGTCTGTCGTGCAGCCTGGCGCTGCTGAGGCCTTCGCCTCGATGCTGTTGACGCGTGCGGTGGTGGTGCTCAACAACTGTTGCTGTTGTTGCTGATGTCTGGCGGCAGCGCAAACAGCGGCTGTTAAAGCTGCAGCATCTTTCTGCTGAGTCTGTCACAGCTGTCTGCCCTCGTGAATCTGCACGGTTAACATTGTATTGGTCCACATTACCGCCCGCATCACGTTTAGCATCAGGTCAGCCAGGTTACTCCTTTCTTCCTCCGCCGGTGTCGGGTCCGCCTGTGAATCCGAAGGCACAAAAAGCATGCCTTGGAGCAGTGTCGTCCAGTGACTCTCGTTCTGAGTCAAGGACTTCATGCTGATGGCGTTCCACTTATCTCGAACCACGGCGTCAGCCTCAGCAGTCCGCTGAGTTTGGCCAGCCGCCTCACTGGCCAGCCGCTGACGTTCCGCCTCTGCTGCCTCCTGCTGTGCCTTTGCGGTAGCTACCGCATCGGTAAATGCCTGTACCCGCTGGAGGTAAGCCGACAACGGCTCACTCGCCCCTTGGACCGGACATGCGGGAAGAGCCCCGGTGGTGCCTGGTACTGCCGTAGCTGTACTTGATGCCGCTGGAGTCGTCCGCCTGCTGAGTCGCTGCTGCTGATACTTAGGCCGTGGAGGTAGCACAGAACTGGTACGAACTGCGAGCCTGGCACTGCGTTGTGGCAGTGCCCCGGTGTCCTGTTCCGTCGACATCAGCACAAACTGATGTGGTACTTTAGAAGTCCCGGTGGTCACATATTACGGGGAGGGTAGGGAGAGTGGGAACAGGGGTAGAACAATCAAACAATTCGCATACCGTCCCTGTCCCAATGATGGACTTAGACACCTAATCAAAATAGGAAAAAGATAAACTTCCCCAACACAACTTAAAAATTCGTAATAAGAAATAATAATGAATTAATAATCAATAAAATTTGAATTAAATGATTAATAACGAATTAATATTGCTTAATAATCAATAAAACAATAAATGCAATAATGATAATTACCGAATTTTAAATTGTGACAAGATTAGGTATCCGTTGAGATCTCCTATGGTCCGGAGTTCACCGTTGATGAGTGAACTACCCGGAAGTTGCAATTCTGAGGGAACGATTCCAAACAGTTTGCCAAAAAAAAATTCGGAAAAAAATCAGGAAGAAAAACACTCGAATTTTCGAAAAACGTAAAATTTTGGGAATTTCGACCTGCAAAATCCGATTTTTAAAGGCCTAAGTCCGTTTTCGGAATTTTTCAAACTAGGGAAAGAAAAGAATTTCGCAAAAATTTCGGAGCCCAACCCTAATTTTCCGCGATTCCGCGGAATTTCCGGTTTTACGGTTCCCAAAACATTCGAATTTCCCAATTTGAACAAAATCCGAAATTTCTCGTAACCCTAATGTCCAATACTGAAATAAAACGGAAATACTGATTTTGAAAAACGAAATACAGGATTTAAAACAGAATGCCAAGATTAAAAACGGAATGCCGAATTGAAATCAGACTGCCGAATTAAACAGAATACTGATTTAAACCTAATAACGCATTAGAATCAGAAATCCGAATTAAACAGAATATCGGATTAACCAGAATACCTAATTGGAACCCGTATTAAACAGAATACCGAATTAGAACAGCAATCCGAATTGAAAGTCCGAATACTGAATTAAAACGGAATGCCGAATTGCACAGAATACCAAAAAAGAAAAAAAATTTGCAACTTTGAATCTCGATAGTAATACAGAGCTGATTTGGAAGATCGAAGAGCAATCTATTCCTAAATCAGATACCTGGTGAGCAGATCCATCGTTTGGTCTGCTCCGATACCAAGACTGTTGCATATTTGTGAATACTTCGACAAGTATGGGCAGAACCAGGAGATCAACCAATATAGGATGAGCATGTATGCAGCGGAAGCCGTGGAGGGAGGAGAAAACCCCCCTCGCCTCCTGGTACCTGACTGACTGCAGTCCGACTGCAGGTCGCGGCTATGGCCGCCGTACTGCCGAGGGCTGCTGCCCAGCTCCTTGCTCGTCGCTCCTGCTGCGCTAGCTCGCGCTGCTGCTGCTGCTCCGCTCCTGCGCTAAGAATAGCGCTCTGCCTCAACCGATACGCACTGGCGCTGATGCAGCATGCCAGTGGTTCGATGCCTCAGAATGAGGCTGAACCGGTGTTAAGTACCGGTGGGCCGAGGCCGGCCTCAATGCTGCGAGGCCAGGCCGTGACCTGAACCGTCAAGATCGACGGTTCAGATCAGATCGGCGGGCGGCAGCCTCAAAAGCGCCGCCAGGCCCAAAACGAGAATGTCGTTTGGGCCTGCCCGTCGGTCTGGTCCAAAAGTCTGGCCTTTCGGCCTGCTGTACCCCCAAGTCTGGGCCTTTAGGCCCTACTGTGTCCCTC